ACTCTAAAGAATTTTCATGTAAATGTTCGAAAACTTAAAAAGCTGTTGCCGTGAGGGCAAACAGTGTTATTGTTTAGCAATTTGTTGTAACTGCTATTGCAGGTGCAGAGTTAAATTTGCTTTGTTTTCGTTTGTTTTTTGTCTCTTTTCATTTTAAATAATTAGTTTTTGTGTTGTTTCCTGTTTTTTGTCTTTGTAACTGCTATTGCAGGTGCAGAGTTAAATTTGCTTTGTTTTCGTTTGTTTTTTGTCTCTTTTCATTTTAAATAATTAGTTTTTGTGTTGTTTCCTGTTTTTTGTCTCTATATTTTCGGTATATATGTACATACATACACACTTACTTACGTGCATATCTGCATAGACAAGACATTAAACATTTTCGGCATTACAACTCAACGGCAGCTGTTGCCTCCGCCAAGACAAGCTGTTGCTGCGCTGCCACAGTCGAATGGCGCTGCGGCGCGCTTTCTGCCCATCATTCAGTCAGCCAAACACTCTGTCATTCCCAATTGCCGGCAGCCAAGGTGATTTTTAAGCAATTTATGAATGCAGGTGTTACTTTTCCAATCAGCAATGCGAACGAAAATAAGAAGAAAACCCCAACAACAAACAACAGTGGTGAGGAATGAATGGAAAACGTGAAAAGGAAATCAGCGGAAAACGTTTTTCTCACATTGGTTCGTTTCACCCGTTCACCCATTCACCCATTCACCTATTCATCCATTCGCAACATAAACACACAGCGCACCATTGCCCAAATACATACCTACATACTCGTATGTAAGTATGTATGTACAATTCATATTTATATAACCTTCTTCTTCGCCGCACTCCAGTTTTGGCAACAGATGTTGCTAGCTGTTGGTGGCATACCTGCATATCCAGAGTCTCTTGCATTGAATAATTTCTATCAAAATGTTTGTACTTTTCTATGAGTGTATGTATGTATACTCGTATATGTGCAGATATATTTATGCGAGCACTGCTTCTGCTGCCAACACTTGTTTCGTTGCCTGGCATTGCCGACTATTGTTGGCGGCAGCTGTTTCCATTAACGTATGCCCATAAGTATGCTGGTCTGTGTTGGTAGTTGTAGTCGATATGTTGTTGTTTTGCTTGCCCTGTCGATTTTTAGCAATCATGTCTAGCAGCGACTGTTGCTCCGCATTCAATGATGGAATGCTGATTTCATCGCCGCCGTCGTTTATTGTAATCAGTCAACCTGCTGTTTGGCTGGCGGACGTCCATTGGCAGGCAAAGTGGCCAGCAGACAACCGAGGACTATGAGAGCAGCAAGCTCCTGCCAGCATTCACAGATTTTAACATACATTAATATGCAGGAAAACGACAAGCTGCTGCAACAACTTATTTTAGCCCACTTGCCCACTCTTGCTAATTATATATGTAAGTATATATAGCTATGCATAAACATGTATGTATTTATGTATATACAGACGTAAATAGCGCTACAGATGTTTTCCCATTGATTTTCATTGGAGAGCTTAATTTGCATGCAGTAGACCGAACCCAACCGCCAATTGTTGCCTAAGTACACAAGTGCGTGCTCATAAGCTATGCTGTAATTAGATAGGTAACAGATTTATCGAATCACCAAAGCGATATACAATATTTAACAACGGGAGTATCGATGGTTATCGAGGTCACATATTTTATAACAGTTCTTATGTATGTTTGTATTTCACGTTTCCTTAGTCATTTCAAACCCGGAAAGATCAAGCAAGGCTGAGAGCTACCTAGTGGGCAATAAACCTGTGAAAGGTGCAGCCAAAGCTCACGGCTTTATCCGAAGCAACTATCTTTGAAAAAAGTAACGTTTTCAGGGATTATGATAAGAGAGCGATGCACATTTGTTGTTATTTTTTTCCCTCAAAAGTTTTCAGATAAATAAATCTTCGTTTTATTTCCAGTAGTAGTAATTTTTTTAAGCTTTTTTTACTTTAAGCGACTTTACTAAGGGTGACCAAATATAGTCACTTCGCAAAATATCTTAAGAAATCTTTCTAGTTAGAGGAATCTGCATAATTCTTTTCAACTAAAAGCTGAGTTGTATTATACTCACGTCCGCATAATATGAAATTGGTTAAATGTTATGAGCCAAAAAGTAAACGGTGCCCACAACCGACATATTTCCTCTATATTTTCTTCAACCTTCGAAATTGAAAGACAGAAATCAATTGGCTAGTGAATCATGAAGCCATGAAGTTCCATCACAACAATGCGGTAACGCGTGATCTAAGACGTTTCTCTAGAAGTTTTTTGCTCTTTCAAAAACATTCATTTGGGAGTTACAGAACTATTTTTTGGTTTTTTCTGCTCGATAATTATCTGCGATTACTTCTGTGATTTTATTGGCAATGTGCAAGGTGTATCTTTAGCATTAAAAATCCCTGATCGAAATCTATATGATGATAAGCTGATACAGTATCGGGACTGTAAATACCCAGTAAAATTTCTATTCGCATTTTCTATTCGCACCTGTAACTCACAATGGAAAGAATCAAACAAACAACAAATAAAGAATTTTTTAATGCAACATATTCTTCTTTCTCCTGATAGATTGGGACGGAAGAATCTTGGCAGCTTAGTAACTAGAGAAGCTAGAGCAACTCACGTTGATTGTGTGGGATCATTCGTTTCAATCCTGATACAACTGACGAAGATTCGGTAACAAGTTTTTTACGTTTGAATAGTATGGTAGAATAACGAGCTGCAATCAATTGCATTTTGCCGCGTTTAGACCTTTTGATTGACCCAATATTTAATACATGGCTAACCCAAGATTAACAATCAATTTATCTGCTTACAACAATACTGTTACAATTAACGCAAAAATATTACTCCCAACTGTATTCATCATCGTATGGGGCGGGGGTGCCTCGGTGCAATCTGCCAAAGCTTTATCAGCACCCAGTTTTACTCATTAAATGTCTGTGCCACTAATTCGCATGTCAAACAGCAATTTTATCATAAGCCCCCTCATCAAAATCAACAACAATCCACCCTCTTTGCTTATAATTATACGAGCATGCACGTTTGTATTGTGAGAAAATCATCATTTGTCATACATTATTGTAAATAATTGTATTTTGTATGTGTTGAATTTCTTTAAAAATAAATATTGAACATACAATTTGCTAATATAGTATATTTTTAATAAGGAACTTTTCGAGTTGCATTCAAATGTATATACATATGTAAAAATATTCTCGAAATTCCCATAAATTTGACAGCTTAGCTGTTTTTACGAGTCCGCAAGATAGTTAAGTTATCAAAAACTCGAATCGAATATAAACAAATGCATATCTGGGTTGCTCCGATTTTCTATTGACTGGCATAAGTTTAACACAATTTAACTTTTGCTTAATCGCATTTCGTCGACTAAGATTGCTTGAGTTGCTATTTATGTATGTAAAGGGTGATTTTTTAAGATCTATAGTACAGTTTTTCAAAAAAACATATGAAATTCAGAAAAATTCATGAAATCTTTATTTGAGTCAATAGTACGGTCCATATAATTTAATATTTGAATGAATGTTTTAATGTTTGAAGACAAATATTGACCGTGACTGCACCTCAAACGGTCCATCCGCTTAGTTAAATTTTGGCACATTCTTTCCAATATTATGACCGGTATACGGACCGGTCCCGAACGTGAAATAAAATGTTTACAGAACTCGCCTCTCAATAAGTCCATTGTTACGCATCTTGCAATTTGGACAAAACAGGTTTCAAATCATCTCACGGTAGCGCTCACCATTCACAGTTACGTTACGATTCGTTTCATCTTTGAAGAAGTACGGTCTAATGATGCCAACAGTCCATAAACCGTACCGAACTGTGACTTTTTCTGGATACATTGGTAGCTCTTGCAATGCTTCTGGCTGATCTTTACACCCTAATCCAGAATTTTGTTTATTTACGCACCCATTAAGCCAAAAACTGAGCTTCGGAAGAAGCGCGTGATTGAACTTAACAGAGCGAGAGACGATTCATGGTTAAATTGTGGTCCAAACTGAAGGCGTTTGATACAAAACACGAACGTGTGCCAGCTGTTTAAACCAGTGTTGCAAAAAATTTTTGAAATTTGAAAATTATTAGGCACCAGCAATATTGAAAATTGACCGTATTGTTTTGTATGCAAACACGGTTGTAACCATAATCACAGATATATAATATATAATTGCAGATAAGTATTATAGTAAAGTTCTCCAATAAATTTCTTAATACCTCATATATTCCTAATTGATTAAATGAAAATAATTATCCACAAATGAATAAAGTGAAATCTTTATATATTTTTGTTTGAAATATTTAACCACTTTCGGCCAATTTAAAGCCTTTTAAATTTGTTCCAATATTGTTACTTCGATCAGAGATTTTCAGCGAAGGAATCGATACCATTTCGTTTGGTTAATATGAAAAATGAACGTAACGAAATGCAATTATTAATATTGAAACCGCACAAATTCACCGTTAACGTTAACGTGCTTAAAATCGCTGCCTTTTATGATCTTAACAGCAAACTTCAGTTTTAACGTTTAACCTTATCTGTTCACGATTTAACATTAACAGCAGTACTTCGCTTGGTAAAAACGAAATAAAAATTATTTTCATAACTGTTTTTACAATAACATTTCCAAATTTTTCAACCGAAACTATTGACCTTTTTTGTTTAGTATGGAATTTATCATTGCGATGTAGCCTACAGCTTATATAAAGCCGCCTCCGAAGGGCTGATGGTTTTTTTATGAGGAGTTTTATTTTGTGTCGGAAATACTTTCGAAAGGAATTGACATTCCCTGCCGAGGGGTGACCGCAATTAGAATATTTAGCTTAATTTTTTATAACATTTGGATGTTGGGATTTGAAACCGAGAATTCCGAATAGCAGTACGCAATGCTAACCACTCGGCTATCGCGGCCGCCAAGTATTTTTTAATATTATTTATTTCATTTTATTTTTTGTATTTCAAATTTCAGATGGCTCTGGACGGCAAAACAATAATCAAAGAAGAGATTACCGATAAGGACGCCTATGAGGCTGCTGCATCCAATACATCTAGTCGACGGAATAAAGGTTGGTATCATGTAATATCTCTTTTCTTTAGTATATTTTTAACGTTAAAATAAGAGCATCATGAATGCAGGTTTGCCGTAGCCGGCGTAAATAAAAATGATTACTTTCTTGAGGTCGAAGAGGATATGAACAAAAATCTAGGACTCTTTTTAGACTCACTATTTTTATATCAGGCAGAAGTAAAATTTTTTTCGGACTACATGCAATTGGAATCAATTCTAAAAAGATCAAAAATGTGCGTAAATTAGTTGAATATTTATGATCTACCCAAATTCGCACAAAAAAAAAAATATAAAAAATAAAAATATTATATTGCATATAGACTAGCCAAATCTTTCGCTATAGAATAGAGCAAATGGTAACCCCTTGGTGCTAGGTCAATACTGTAAGGCTATAGACTACATGCATAACTATACTCTCGGATCTTCTTGGGAGTCACTATAGATGTATGGGGTCTGGCGATGTCCTGATGAAACCTAATTCTCCTTCTGTTTAAGAAAGCTGGGTGTTTTTGGGTGATTGCTTTATTCAGACGGACGAATTAAGAGTTTGACTGTAGGGAAGCAGCTTATAGCGGATAATTCTCTGCCAGTCCCACAAAACATACGACAAAATCTTTTTAATCATCAGTCATGGTTCGCAGACCATTTATGCTCGTTCACTGCCCTTCAATCACCAGCGTTTTCATTTGACGTTAATGTAAGTGATCCACTTTTCATCACCAGTTACCATCCGTTTCAGAAATGGTACGACTTTTGTTAGATGGAAATTCGGTCCATGGGATGTTTTCTCGTTAATTAATGAGACCAACCCCTGCATCGAGCTTCTTCTTCGTATCTGGTTGTTTCAATTTTTTGTTTGTTTATATTTTCGTGCTCATTTTTGTTCTGTAATTATATTTTTTAGCACAAAATACCATCTTTCTAACGTCATCTAAAGTAACTTAATCGCTCTTATGGAACGCAGATACAGGCCACTAAAGCCATCTTTTGGAAAAATAATGGATGACCTTTTAGAGTTTTAAGTAGCAACAATCTTCTTCTTTGCAATCCAGTTATATAAAAATGGAGTAATAAATTTCATATTTTTTACAGCGAAGAAGGCTGTAGAAGCAGCAAGGTTATTTTTTTTATCACATCTGGTAATGATTCTACCATGGCAGAACGGTTTTTGGCAAAACTGTATCGAAAAAAAATTATAAATAATTTCTTTATTTACTAAAACAGTTTTTATTATAACCGAGTGTAGAATATCTTCATATAATTATATGTGCATATGTACAAATATCTATAGCCGTTATGCTAAATAAGTTATTACGTCTACAAAATAACATTCAATTGCCATTCGTATGTAATTGTGGGAAAATATTGAAATAACTCGACCTGTGACTGAAAATAAAATAGTAGAAAATAAAAACAAAATAAATGCCTTTGAAAGCTTAAGAAAATCCAACACAAAAACTATGCACATCAAAATAATAGTTCTCAACAATAACGGATGAATGGAAAATATACATGCAAATATGTCCATACGTGCATACATATGTATGTACATATTTATAAACTATGGCTACGTACGTACATACATAAATATGCACTATGAATAGCATCAAAATGGAAAATTCAACCAAAAATAACAATCACCGAACAATAAAAACAACATTTACAACAACCACAATAAAAACCAAAACGATAACGAAAAAAAAAATCGAGCAAACGGAAGAGGGATTACTTTTGTATGTGAGCTTTTTCGAATTGTAAGGACTTGCATTCGCCGCTACCTTCTCCAATGTGCAGATCCTACAACGTTGGGAAAGCAAACAGGTGTCTGTTGTGGTTGATTGTGTGTTGTCATGCAAATCCTAAGAAAACACATGAACCGGAAAAACACCCTCATTCAACTCATTCACCCCAATCAACAAAGAACTGAAAAACCAAGAAAAATTTCGCAATTCAACTGACGGAAGGTTATAAGAGAGATGAAAGCAAAAGCAAAGTATATGAAAGCAAGATTTCGTGTTATATGCTTCGATGAAAGGAGTGACAAATATGAATAATATAACATTTTCCTGGCAAATCTTTTTCTTATCTTATATTTAGTGAACTATAATTCTGAAATTCTTGTTTTATTCCTTTTTCATAACTTGAACATTAAACCGTATCTTAGTACCAAAACGAATAGATATAGACCTATAAAGAATTATGGCGACACACGAAGGGCGGCTGATAATCTAGCGGCCTAATATAGTTAGAGATGGCAAATCTTCTCGTTACTGATAATACTGATGGCGGGACTCATTATTAGTATAATAATACATCTTTTTTTTCATTATGTTCATAAAAATTGCGTCTCTGAAATAAGCACCGAAACTATGTCAATGGAAACCGGAAATTCTCACAATTTGGAGTGCCGTGCTGTGATTGACATTCTCGTTAAAAAAGAAGCATGCCGAAAGAAATTTTTTAAAGATATTTTATTTGATGAGTGCATAAGTTATTGCCCAATTCCGCTGGATGCCGTTCGAATCGTTTGAGAGTGGCGCTCGTGAAAGAAATATATACATATTATATATCATTGGAAAGGTGACAGTCCGAACTGTAAATCAAGCATAAAATAACTTCATTTTGATTTGAGTTGCTTAGTGAAAAGACGCATGGAAGATGGACAACGAAAAAGATCATATGCGTCATATTATGTTATACGAATTCCGCAAAGGAAAAACAGTAGGCGCTGCAACTAAAGATATTCGCGAAGTTTATTTGGACCGTGCTCCAGCACTCCGCACAGTAAAGAAATGGTTCGCGAAATTTCGTTCTGGAGATTTTAACCTCGAAGATCAACCTCGCAGTGGACGGCCTTCTGAGCTTGATGACGATGTTCTAAGGACTTTAGTTGCGAATAACTCACGTATTTCGACGGAAGAGGTTGCCAGTGAATTGAACGTCAACAAATCAACTGCGTTTCGTCGTTTAAAAAAGGTTGGGTACACTTTGAAGCTCGATACATGGGTGCCACATCAGTTGAGTGAAAAAAACAAAGTGGACCGTATGTCAACAGCAATTTCTTTGCTTCGACGGATCAAAAACGAACCTTTTTTGGATCGGCTCGTGACTGGTGATGAAAAATGGATCCTGTACAACAATGTTCAACGCAAAAGAACATGGAAACAGGCACACGAAGGGGCGGAACCGATGTCGAAAGGTGGATTGCATCCGATGAAGGTACTGCTGTGCATTTGGTGGGATATCCGAGGCGTGATCTATTTTGAGCTCTTGCCAGCTGGAGAAACGATCACTGCCAACAAGTATTGTCAGCAATTGGTCGAATTGAAGAAAGCAATTGATGAAAAACGTCCGATTTTGGCCAATCGCAAAGGAGTTCTTTTCCATCATGACAACGCCAGGCCACATGTTGCAAAACCGACCCTGGCCAAACTGAAGGAGATGAATTGGGAAATCATGCCGCATCCCCCATATTCACCCGACATTGCACCTTCTGATTATCATTTGTTTCGATCGCTGCAGAACAATTTGAATGGAAAAAAATTTAAAAATGTGGAAGACGTCAAAAACCACCTTGACACCTTTTTCAACGAGAAACCGCGCGATTTCTATGAATCAGGCATCCGTAAATTGGTTGAACGTTGGGAGTGGATTGCCGAACATGATGGCGAATACATAATTGATTAATAAAAGCGCTTTCTTCAAATTATTTCAATTTTAGTTTGCACTTGAAATCGGGCACGAACTTAGGCTCTCATCCAATAATTGCTACTTCAGGACTTTGACTCTGCACATACGGTAAAAAAGGGCTCGGCTGTTTCAACAAGGAAGAAAGACCTGTTGAGATGAACCCTGTTGGGTGGGGGGAGTTGTAAATATTTTTTGGAGTTGTGCCAAGATGATTGGGATTAAATTTGCAACCGCATTGTAACAGTTGATGAAACTTGGATTCCTCATTATTCCGAACCCATGCAGGGGTTAATACAGTGGAAAGATGTTGATGACAATGACAAAGATTTTAAGACGACAGTGAGATGTATGCGACGGTAGAAAACTATTTTGAAAAGAGGTCTAAATGATATTTTTTCAGGGGATAAAGGCATTGATTGTATTCACGACGTGAAAAGTGTATTTCACTTGAGGAAGACTATTTTAAAAAATAAAAAGAATAATACTATACATTGAGTACACGAACATAAATAATGAGGCAAGCCACGCTCAGGACGCCTACATAAAAAATGATTAGAGAATATCAGCCAATGGAGAAACTACACACCATTGTCCAAAGCTTGATGACTTGGTCAAAAAATAACTTTAACTCAGATATGGAAATAATACCAAATATTTGGCTCTTACAGAGAAATATGTGGTCTTTAATATGAGGGCGCGTAAAGTAAAACAGTTCTTGAGCCCAAAAAGAGGGTTTTTGTGGTATAATAGGTACGCTCGTCGAGAGAATGATGGATAAGTCTATATGTACATGTAAATATAGAAGAAGGTAGTAACATAATCTTAAGGAATGCCATCAACATCTTTTGCTAGCCGTCAGTATCAAAAATTATCAATCATTTGGAATCACCTTGAAATAGGCTAAAATTTTGGAACATTACATCAATATGGACTTTAAAAACAGTTTTTTTCCTGTGAAGCATGCTCAACCTTTTAAAATTATTATTTTTTTCCTGTATAAAATCGAATATTTCGTTAAAATATACTTTACAATAATTTTTAATGAATTTCTGCACACTTATTGAATAAATGTACTTTTGAAATTTTTTATCGTAAATATCGTCTGATCCTATTGTAAAATAGATCCATTGCGACAACCCTTAATTCAAATATTGAATATTGCGTTTCCAAAGCTTTTGAAGTGTTATTAGCATCTGTAACAGCCACATACTAAAACAGACAGTTGAGGAACGAAAACGTGTTTAAAGAGAAATTAAATTTGAACAAGCTCTCGAAAAACGGCACTAGTATCTGTTTTTTAATTCTTTA